TGGAGTCGTGACAAAAATCAAACCTCCCTGATGGGCATATTTCTCTTTTCCTGAAAGGAACGAGGCATCGGAGAAGGCACAGAAAGTCACTTGTTCAGGGGCAATCGGCAATGTCATTAAAGTCACAGGGTGAACCTTTGCCTCAGGCAACACTCGATTTGCAAAAATCATGTCATCGACTGTTGCTTTTGCCACCCTACTTTGGATCTCTCCAACTTTGGCCGCAATGTCGGGACGGGTATGGACTGCTGCATATTGCAGAGCTCCAACAAGACTTCGCAACTGCGTCACTTCACTCGGGCCCAGCGCAGCTTCAGCATTGGTACGTCTCTGTTTTGGGATTTCAATTGGCCTAATCTTCTCTATATAGTCAATCTGATCATACTCCACACTGCCATCATCCCACTGCTGAAACCTTATGCCCGTGAAGACAAAGGACCCTTTTTCAAATGATCCAAAACTGAAACGCTATCTGACTCTTTCCAAGGCTGCCATAAACATGTTGTCCCCACCCCCAATGCCATCATCGACATGAACCCCTAGGGAACCATGAACTCTTTCTTTCCCCTTTTCATCAACAGAAACAAGAGTAAAAACACAAGGATCAAAAGGACACTGTTTAAAACCTTCTTGCAACAACGAGTCACGAAACTTACAATACCACAAATCGCCTTGAAGAAAGGCAGTTGAGACATCGAAGGAAACTAGTTCCCAACCATGACTACTCACCTGTTGCACCACCATCTGTCTTCCATCTTTGGTGAGTGTGGGTGAATCATTTTGAACCACCCCAACTCCAGGATCCTCGTATCCAACAACAATCGACCGGGCCTTTGCCTTACGACCCTCACTCACATCCTTGGGGTGATCCTCAGGTGAGGCTGATTTCCAGGTGAGCAGCCATCGGCAGCGCATGATTGCTTCCTCAGGAATTTTTCCTTTGGATGCTTTTCTCACAGTTCCATGTTTGAGCCAGGCGCCTATTTCTTTGTGCTTGGCCACCGCCTTGCGCTGTTGGTCAGCACTGCTTAAATCACTCAAACGGACTTCAACTCGTTTCTTCTTTGCTCCAGTCACCAACAACACACTTTCATCTGCTGATCCAGCGCAAAACAGTGCATGCTCTTCATGGTTTTCAACAGGAATTTCAATCTCCCAGAACTGGCAACACCTATCATCTGCAGACATGGTGATGTCATCTCCAAACAGAAGGTCATCCGTTGGTTCAAGATTGACGCCCGCCTGTGAGGCATCACCATCGGACTCACTGACACTTTCTGGAACCGGCACACGCACGTAATCAGGGAGTTCATTCTCTGATTGCTCAACTCCCCATTAGGTGTCCCAGGTGGCTGAACTGACAACTCTCCTTCGGGCTCCCCAATTGATGGGTCATATCCCTCTGTTTCAGCTTCCCAGTCAGGAAAATCCTCCCCATCTACATCAATGAAACTGCCATCATTGAGGGCTCTCTGTAAATCTGAGTTCCCTGGGCCAGACTCTGTGAGCAACTCTTTGGCCTGCTTCCACTCCCGAAAACTGGCTGCACGAAGTTGCTCAGGGCTCGTGCGCACTAGCTTTCCAGCATGATTCAACCAAACATTCTTGGACCCTTCGACTGCAACAACACTCGCTGGCCCATACCAGCGACCACGATCTCTACGTAGATTGGCACCCCTCCTACGCCAATACAACACAAGATCTCCTATTTCAAAAGGTCCTCGCATTGGCCGAGTCCGCCTCAAAAGCGCACGACGAAGACTGGATGAATTATCAGCTTCTATGAAAGCTCTGCGTGCACTGCCGCGTCTTTCCAGACTGGCTCGAAAGGCTTCGCTCTCGGGACCAGTCCCTTCAGCCAGAGTTATACTTCCTACCCCCTGACTAGAGACAACGGACCCAGGCAATCTTTTGGCAATTCCAAGGACAGCTTGTTCGGGAGAGTATCCCTTCACTCTGGATAAACTGTTCTTGGCATTGAACACATGAACCAAAGCCTGCTCAAACTCCCCAACCGAGTTTATTGGTGACTCCAAATCCATGCGACTCAACATCTTCTTCACAACTGATCCGTGAATTTCCACTCTCCCCACTTGCCAGTGTGCTTCACTTGCACTGACTTTGACATGGATGTCATGCCTTTGCATTCTGTCCTGCCATGCTTCTGCCGTATATTCCGTGCCAGGGTCAACATACACAACTTGAGGAGTGCCAGCCCATAACATCCAACATTTCTCAAAGACTCGAATTTGAGAATCTGTGTCCGCACTGACAACATGAGAACCAACATGAAACAAAGTCCCTTCATCAATGATATGAGAAAACTGAAAGTTCTTACCAACACTATTAGTCCAAACAGCAGTGTCCATACCAATCACTTGATTGAATCCCAGATTCTCATGAATTGTGCCAGGACGGGTGGAGTCTGGACCAGCTTTTGTTTCCGCACAACTGTCGCACTGATAATCCAGAGCTCCTTGAACCAAATGAGGTTCCGCATGCCTTTCCTTCAAAAACCAGGCAAACTTCTGTGGATGTGGATGGCCTAAGTTGTGATGCAACCTCCGAATCTGAGCCTTTTCATCACCATTCAACAACATGTATCCTGGTCCATGAACCGGAACATTCTTGGGAGGGTCTTTACTTACCACAACAACATCTTCACCATCATCCCCAGTACCTGCTTCCTTATCAGACCCCATTGTCTCAAGCTCCCCTGACTTTGGAAAACTTCCAAAAATGGTGAGGCTCATCTTTGCAGATTGACCCTTTCGAATTTGCTGCCTTTTTGGCAGAGCAGCCCATTCCTCAGCTGGGCCAAGTACCATTGACTGACCCGTGATGCGGTCTTTGACCACGGTCAATCTCAACGGGATGGTTTCTGGGTCCGCATCAGCTCCAGGAAGGCGCAACCTCTCAGTTCCCCTACAGGCTTCAACCCTCTGAACCTTCAAGTTTGGGGCCCCCTTCTGAATCTGAGCTAAAATCCCATCATCATCCAAAACACGTTTGCCTACCCGTGGAACCATGGTTTCAATTTTCTTAAAAATGCCATCCCAATATTCACCGGCTGCACATCCGTGGTCACCTGCTGGTGTCTGTTTGCAGTGATACCTTGGACGCTTCACTTCTGCTGAAACCGGCTCTTCCAAGCTCTCTGGAACTGCTGCAGCGGACACTCTTTTTCTTTTGACAACTCCGGCAACAAAAGCTTCATCAACATCACAAACATGCAACTCATCCAAAACCAGTGGCTTCTCATCAAACCTACAGGAAACATACCTTGCCACATTCCTACCAAAACCGGAGGTGTACCTTGCAGCATATTCCGAGAGAGAAATCCACCGACCCAAATGATAGATCTTGCCAGCAATTGGAGCATGCTTATGATGCCCAGGACACAATCGGTGGTCAAATGCATCATGGAAAATCTTTGAGGAAGTGTAGACATGCGTCCTTTTTCTAACAGTATGGCTTAGGAAACGAACCGTGAACCGGGAACCGAACCGTTCAGGAACCGGCAGGCTAAGAACCGGCACGAACCGAACCGCCAATTATTCTTACGCAAACCGAATGGGCACGAACCGAACCGCCAATTATTTTTACGCAAACCGAATGGAACCGAACCGGTTCCACATTCTCAAAAAAATTATTTTGTTAGCTTCCGGGGGTTCCGAAAATGATTTTCGCGAATTGAAAATCAAATTGGAAAGAGGCATCAACTGTAATGAAAGGATTCCTGCGCAACATAATCTGCCAAAGTGCTGCAGGAATTGCAAATGCGTCAGCTTCCGGGGGTTCCGAAAATGATTTTCGCGAATTGAAAATCAAATTGGAAAGAGGCATCAACTGTAATGAATGGATTCCTGCGCAACATAATCTGCCAAAGTGCTGCAGGAATTGCAAATGATCAGTGCTGGCTGCTACTACTGCTACTACTGCTACTACTGAAACTACTGAAACTACTGCTACTACTGCTACTACTGCTACTAAGAACTGTTGCTATTACTATTACTGTTGCTATCACCAGCACTACTGTTGTATATTATATTACTACCTCTATTACTAGCCTCTCTGCCCGTTCCTGTTCGGCAAAGCCCGGTCGGGACCCATACCTGCTGGGGAACCGCTTACGAGAGGCTACTATTTTTCTTCCTCGTAGCCTTACTAGAACTAGTATTACTTCTTTACTACTATTATTACTAATTCTACTTATCTTGTTGCTACTGCTACTGCTACTGCTACTGCTACTGCTACTGCTACTGCTATTGCTACTGCTACTGCTACTGCTACTGCTACTGCTACTGCTACTACTACTGCTACTACTGCTACTGCTACTGCTACTACTACTGCCACTACTGCTACTACTACTACTACTACTCCTGCTACTGCTACTACTACTACTACTACTACTACTACTACTACTTCTTTTTTTCACTTTTTGCCAAAACAACTCCGAAAATGATTTTCGCGCAGTGAAAATCAAGTTAAGGAAAACATCTAATAGTATTCGTCCTCGTATGGCTAGACTACTACTGCTGCGACTATTACTATTACTGTTGCTATCACCACCCCTACTGTTGTATATTATATTGCTACCTCTATTACTAGCCTCTCTGCCCGTTCCTGTTCGGCAAAGCCCGGTCGGGACCCATACCTGCTGGGGAACCGCTTACGAGAGGCTACTATTTTTCTTACTCGTAGTCTTACTAGAACTAGTATTACTTCTTTATTGCTATTATTACTCATTCTACTTATATTGCTGCTGCTGCTACTGCTACTGCTACTGCTACTGCTACTGCTACTCCTACTACTACTACTACTACTACTACTACTACTCCTGCTACTACTACTCCTACTGCTGCTGCTGCTGCTACTACAACTTTTTTCCACTTTTTGCCAAAACAACTCCGAAACTGATTTTCGCACAATGAAAATGATGTTTGGCTAATGTTTGGGTTTTGCAGGCACTGCCTCAATTTCGATGCCTGAAAACGACTTTCGCCATATGAAAATGGCATTTGGCTGCTGATTGAACCTCTGCCGGCCACGACTGGATTTCGACAGCTGAAAGTGATTTTCGCAAAATGAAAATGCCGTTGGCAATGGATCTGTCAATTTCACTGTACACTGGTTAGATGTAAGAATTCTAATAGTTGATGATGATAATCATTATCCCCAATCCAAGAAACAGCATAAACACTTTAGTCATCAAAAAACCGTGGTTTTGGACACTGCTTATTTAGATGCTGCAAACACTCGGCCCCACCACCAGTTTCAAACATATTCAAAAACCAAATCCCTCTGCTGCAACATAACATTCCTATTTGATATTCATCCACACCCATTCTGTCAAAGACCTCTCGTCCTGCAACACTACACAACACGAACCGAACCGAACCGCCATGTCACACGAACCGAACCGAACCGAACCGCCATGTCACGCGAACCGAAACGAAGCGGCCTGCTGATGAACCGAACCGCCCCTATTTGAGGTTTCCACGAACCGAAACGAACCTAAACGAACCGAAGCCTTCCTGTTCTAAGGAAATTGTTTCCAGACACTCGTCGCATCACATGTGGGGCAAGTAGTTTTCCAACTTCACACATATCAAAAACAGTACACAGGGTCACACAGTAAATATCATAGACTTCCAGTTGATAAATCAACTCCGACCCTTGGGGTTGCTCCAAATGAAATTGACCACCACAATCCATCTGATACCAATAAACATCATTACAAAGCTTCAAATGAACACGTTGCTTCCTGCGACCCTCTGAAATCATTTGTTCTGTGCTTTTGCTCCTGCCCATGTTTCTGCGACTGAAGTTGCCCCAATATTTGCATTCTGGTGCCATCCAGACTTCTCTCGGTCGCTCTTCCTCCAAAACTTTCCAAAGCGCAGCTTGACCTTCTGGTGTAGAAAGATCTCCATCACTGAAAGTGAATCTTCTGGCCTTCAATCCCAGCTTACAAGCTTGTTCTGTGATTTGAGAATGTTCTTCACAATAGATCTCCAGAAGATCACTTCCAAACTTCTGGAAAGTCTGAGAGTCGGTCAGCGTCGGCCATATCTTTTGAAGACAGGTCAGCTCTGCTTCAATTGTTCCCATTGCTAGTTCAATCTTTTTGAGCAATTGGTTGGTCAATTGCTGATCTGTCTCGAGTTGCTCTACGCTAGACCTCTCATTCAGACTCCCTCCAAGTCGGCCTTGATCTTGTCCATCTCGCGCTGCAAGATCGCCATGCGAGTGATCATCTCCTCTTTCTGCTGCACCTCGATCGCCATCTGCGACTGCTCTTCTTCCATGGGGCGCTTCTGACTTGGTGATGACATCGTGCTCATCGGACGCGATGTCACCCCTCCTGTCAACAGCTCCCACTCTGGTCCTTGACTCTTCTCGATCTCTGCCTTCGGATACATCTTGGACATCTCGGCTTTGGCCCACTGTCTGGCATACTCCTGGTAGAAGGCCTTCGAGCACTCTTCCTGCATCCTGTCCATGGCTTCCACGTAAGCCTGAAAACTCAGTGCCCAAGCTGACACCAGTTTCCTGTGCTCCTTCATGAACTTGCCGTACTTTGGGTCCTCCTGGTATGCCTGAAAGAAGGACTTGTGCCGCCACTTCCCTTCCGGGAACTTCAACTGACCCCACTCCTTCAAGGTCATCACACCTGGAGGGCGACGACTTTTGATCTCTGGTAGTTGTCGATCTTCGAAGGCCAGAGAGGCATCCACTTCTCCGGACAGCATCGCATCTAGCATCTCTGTCTGGAGTCCCGGAAATGGCGTTCCCGAGGCACTTGGAAGAGTCATGGCTGTCAGCTTGAGAAAGAGCGGACTGACTTTGAAGCCGATCTGGTTCTCGGTCAACTTGAGGTTGAGCCACAGCAGCTGTAGCAGTCGTCGAAGTTGACATTGTGTTTGGCTGCTGCTGCTGCTGCTTGTGTGTGCAGTAAACCTCCCTACTTCGATTTTCAATTCTACTACTTGCCAAAGTGATGACTTCCTCAAACTTTTCTGAATTACTTCTCATGCTCGCCGCATCAATCAAGTCTGACAACTTGACAATAAACAGCCCCTTGGCATTTCTGGTGAGTGTCACGGATTTTCCCCAAGAAGACACTTCCAAACAGGATTTACTCACCAGAACATCTGCGCCAAGTGCATGAAGAAAGGCATTTGAAATGAGGAAAGGCGTGGTTCCTTGAACCACTTCAATTTTCATCCATTGTTTCCCAAACGGTACAAACAGCGCACCAACACTCTTCAAAATACCATTGTTACCAAATCTAAAAACGGTTTCAGCTTCCTTCCACTTAACCATCTCACGGTGTTCTGCCTTCAAAGTAGTCAAAAGTGCACTCACTCGCTTTTCGCCGATCACGGACTTGCTTGCACCGGTATCTATGATCCCAGTGCCTGAGTCACCTAAGCTGCCATTCCTACTTTCCTCAGTTGACTCAGGGGACCTGCCAGTGACACTGAAGCTTGTCTCAATTGCTCGACGAAACATTTCTTTCAGTTTGGGAAAATATTTCAAACTCTTTTCACAACATGACTTCCCTTTGGGAATGTTGATCGCATGCAAAATCATTTCATGGGAACCTATTAAACTGAATTCTTCATTATCAACATGGTACTCAGGTGGCACCATTGTGGGCAACCAAAATTTTGAACACATCCCCACCTGCCAATTGGCAAGATCATGGCCAGGAAGTTCATCAAGAAGTTCACCACCCCCTGAGAGCTCTTCCGTGAGGATCACGTTCGCATCTGCAGTCACATTCTTGTCCTTCAGCGGGCACTCATCCTTCCAGTGGCCTCGTGCTCCACAGGCGCGACAGGTAGAGCTTGCTATGCGCTCTGCAAGACTCTGATACTTTCTGGGGCCTTTGCCCTTCTTTGACTTGTTCTTGCCTTTCCCTTTTCCATGACGAAGGGGCCAAAACCCTCGGCTGCGAAACTTGTCTCGAAGCTTCTGTCGTGCCTCCTGGTACGTGGAGAACGCCATGGCCAGTTCAGGTGAATCCCGACAAACATGGATCACCTGATCCTCGAACTCTTGTATGGCAAGTGCTGTCTCATCACCTTCCTCGATGAGCATGGCTAAGGCTTGCTCTTCATCACATTCTTCTTCAGCTGCATAGTGAATTTCATCCAACTCCTCTTCCACAAAGTTGGCTGGATACACCTTCTTGCGTCCAGCATCTGTCTGCCCAAGCACTTTGGTCGACAGGGACCTCATTGCCTTTTCCACTGCCGACGGATCATAGTTGCCTGCCATAGAGACCACACGCCTCTTGTCCTCAACAGTCAAGGCACTCTGTCTCAACATCACGAAGCCTCGAACTTGTTGGACGGTTGTTTCAGAGCCCACTTCTTCGAAAGCAACATTGATTCGGTTGACAAACGACATTGCTGACTCGTCTGTCTTTTGGACTACTCGGTAAAACGCCTTCTCAAATTTGTCAAAGGTCTGAAGTTCCTCGGCATCCTCCCAGGTCTCCAAAGCTTTCAACAGTACCTTGTAACCAGTCTCAGGGTCTGTCAACTTCGACGCATCAATGGCTCTCACCTGACTCCATGCAGTCCCTTTGCACTGCAAAGCCAACCTTGGTGCCAACATACTTCTGTCCTTCACAGGGCATATGCCCCATAGAAACTTCACCTTGTCCGCATACTCTTTGGCGCTATCGACACTAGGGTCGAAACTCGGCAACAAGCTCCACAAGTTGCTCGTCTTCTCTTCCACACTCACACTTCCACCAGGCTGTCCCTCAGCCCCGTCTGGCATCTTCCCAAGACGCTTCCACCTTTATTTTTCACTACCCAGTCGCCTCACCAGGTACTTGCCCTTCTCAACCAAGTTTTCCTTCTGGAAGTCCTCCTCCAGCGCCAGCCCGCAGGCTCCGCTGCCAATGCGAAGCAGCCTCGCTTCAACAGCAGCCACCAGCAGCAACGCCTCTGCTGCTTTTCCCACCAATGGCTCAATCCGCACCGCTGCCCACCGCTGGAGGTGAACCAATAGTTGCGGCCAAGGTGCAAATGGTAAACAACCTCCCTGACATGTAAGACCACGGGAAAACAAGGACTGCCAAGATGGCAGCTGAGGTCCAACCGTCAAGCTCACCAGGACAATAAACTGTGGAAGTTTCACAATATATATACATATATATATACATACATACATATCAGGATATATCAGGAACATCAGGAATCATCATGACATGTCAGGTTGGAACCTTTTTCTGGCTTCCAGAAAGGGAGGGAAGCCTTGGTGGTATTTCAGACGGTTGGGAGATCTGGTGGGGGTCTGACCGACCCACAACCTCGCACGGTCCTTGCCAGGGGCACCAAACTGATGTGCCACGGGATCTGTGCAGCAAAAAAAGGGCTGGTGCAGGAGTTCTGGTCGGGAAATTCATCTGAAAAACGCGACTTTTAATTGGAACCATGGTGGTTTTCAAGAAGCATTTGTCAAGTCACAAGTTGTATCAAATCAGGGATGGACATGTCAATTATCTTTCAAGAAAGGTGGAAACTGGCACCATCAATCCGCGAGCTTTATGGAGTCTAGTGGCTGAGGGGACTGAGGGGTGCACCAAATTCATCCAACGCCCCAAAGGAGATCAGATTGTCGTCGCTCTTCTTCTTTTGCTCCATGGATTCTGGGAGCAACGGTGAGACTAAGTGGGGACTATATCACCCGCGCTGCTGAATTGTCAGTCCCCAACCTGACATTATATCCCATTGTATCCCACTAGATATCACTAGATTCCAGTACTGTACATCTGTATATCCCATTATTAATTGCTATAGAAGTTGTTGGTTCAATCATGTGAAATCCACATGTGACTGTGGCTTTTTTATCGGGTCATCTTGGGTCAAATTCTCCAGCTGCTTCCCAAAGGATGGATGATGGCTATGGAAGCCGATGTTTTTCCATGGCGATGTTCCATTGCAAACTGCAACAACCAGAGGCTAATCCGATTATATATCAGTAAATTCCATTAAAGCCCATTGAGTTCCATGAAATTCCATGAATATCCCATTCAACATCATTCAACCACCATCTTTTTTTGGCTTGTTTTTGCTGCTTCAATCCACAATTTCCATCCACTATCATCCACTATCATCCACTTATAGATGATTTTCCAGGATTTTCCCATGGGGCTCCACAAATTCTACAGCCCAGGTGCCCAAGTTGTTATAGGGATCCGCAGCGGGGCTCGAGCTTTTGGCAGCGATAGGGTCGAAGGAAGCCTTGGGCTGCTGGGTGGCTTCAACCCCCCTCCAAATATCATGGGGATAGAATGGGTATGTATGTATAATATATATATGTGAATGTATGTATAGATATACATACAGATAGATTCACATAGATTCAGATAGATGGATAGATGTATGCTAATAATTTGTCTTTTGTATGTGTGATTGGGAAAGTGCTGATCATCCATTGGAATTGGAGTCTTCAGCTTTGACCCACAACCATCGAACTGGGTTGGAAACGCACCCATTTAGCTGGTATGGGTTGTTTTTAACATGTTTAGCCCCATATTCAACAGGCATAAACTGGGTTGTCTTAAACCTGAAGTGGTGTTGAGGTATGTAGAATAACTTTGGGATGCTTGGGGCATTTGGAATCCGATTGGACGGGGCACATCGCTGTAAAATGACTGCGACAAGCCCTGTTGGGATTTCTCATGATGGTTGCGAGAACATCTATGAACTCTCACAGCTAAATGGATGCCCCTGGGCTATTGAGATTCAAGAACCATGTCTATATACTGTCAGTTGCTCATGTGAGCATATACAGGTAGATGCGGAAGCCGAAAGGAAACGACTTGGAGATTAGAGATACCCTTTTGTAATCAAACATGGCAATGGAAAATCCCCCATGTGTAGATGATTTTCCCAACTTCCATAAAACCCGATACACGGCCATCCTACTTATGCGGCTGTGTGTGAAAACCAGAAAATCACAGCAATGAAACCAAAAACGAAATTCCCTGGTAGTATCATCCCATCATGCACATCATGAAAGCAGATGAAAACACCATTCCACATGCTTACCATTTTTCCGCCTACCAGCCAGCATCATCTCATGCTATGGATATCTGGCCTCCTCTTTGGTCGTCTTTGGGCCTGCTGAAGCCACAAAACTGGTCGGCATGGTTTCGATCATTTATCAGTTTGGGAGACCATCATGTTGAACCAAACCATGCCAAATCCATAAGATGGTGGTTTCCTATATGGTGTGTTTCTATTTATCTATCTATCTATCTATCTATCTATCCATCTATCCATCTATCCATCTATCCATCTATCCATCTATCCATCTATCCGTCTATCCGTCTATCCGTCTATCCGTCTATCCGTCTATCCGTCTATCCGTCTATCCGTCTATCCGTCTATCCGTCTATCCGTCTATCCGTCTATCCATCTATCCATCTATCCATCTATCTAAATGTGCCCTAATATTCCAAAGCACGTCGAGTTAACCTATGTGGTGCCCAAGAATTTTCAATGTTCGAGGGTTTTTGGCTCCCTGGGTTCTACGGAAATTGACAATGGTTCTACGGTTTGTCTACCTTTTTCCGACCACCTTCAACCCCTGATCAAATGATTAATAACCCCTGATCAAATGATTAATAGTCGCTGAGTACAAATTAATGTCCTTACCGGGAGGGAAGTAAATTCGAGGATCGAAGAAGAGCAGGGTATGTATTATATATGCCATGTATATACATGTATATTATGTAAATACGTGTACAATAGTAGATATATAATGATAAATATATATATAGATAGATATTCGAATAAGATACATGGAAATATTTATATATACATGAGATATGCGATATACATGTAAAGAAATATATATGTGATATTTATACTTAAATATATAATACAAAAAAAAAACATATATATATATATATGATATATACCATATATATGTGATGTATTTGATATATAAATATGATATATCTGATAGGTATGATATATATATATGTTTTTTTGATATATGATATATATATATATATTTGTGATATATGTGATGTTTATATTTAGACATAATATATAGCATATATATCATATATAAAATATATATCAAATACATGATGTATATGATGTACTTGATGTAAATGATATAAATGATATATATCATAAATGGTATATTAAATATAAATTAAATGTATATAAATGATATGTATATATATATATATATATGGTGTGTATATATATGATATATACATATATATGAGTTTAGAAATAACGTATGATATATGTATATGTGTGATTTAAATATATATATATATACAAATGAGATATGTGATATAAATATATATATATAATATGATATATATTTATATATGATATATATATATGATTTATATATATATATATTATATACATATGAGATATGTGATGTATATATATATGATAAAAATGATAGATATGATATATCCAGATATATAAATTAGATATATTTGATATATATATATATATTAAAGGATATATGTGATATATATGATATATATATATATGATATATTTGATATTTATATATATATATATATGATATATATATATGATATATATATATGATATATATATATATGATATTTATATCTGGTAAATATTATCTGTATGATACAAAAGATATATCTGATATATATGATGTTTGTTGATATATAATGTATGCCGTCTGTATTGAATCATTGTCGTGTACCACAAAAACGTATGGTTGTGGCTCCAAAAACGAAGATCGTTCCGCGCCGATTGCTATGGATCCAGGTATGGATCAGCTGTGGGTTTTAACCCTTGATCCGGACCAGAAAATTTGAGCCGAAGCATCACCAAACTAACCCGTGGAAAGCTTTCGGGGGCTTAGTTCCACTATGTTCCACTGCTTTTGGTCATTCTGCTACCAAACCATGCATCTTTCATCATAAAATGATATCCACCAATTTTGGAGCGATAGCCCCACCTTCTTTCACTGCTTCGGCCTCGAGGTGGAGAAATGGTGAAGGGACATGGGGGATGACCAGCATTCGTACTGGTGAAAACCTGGCACCCTTTGGTTCACAGCAAAAAATGGGTGCCACAAGTGCACGTTCATCCTTTCCAAATACGGGAAGTGGATAAAACAATCGAAAAATATAGGTCTTGATAGGTTTTAATCATGGTTGATCTATACTCACTTGAGCTTTCAGAATACCACCCAACCCCACCGAGATAAGACTCCCTGCTGCAGAGGTAGGTGCAGAGGCAAAGTCGCCCCAGTCATCTGGACAAACGATTGTGATGACCACAATGATCCCCAAAGCCAGTATAATGAGCAATGGAAAGTAACGAACAGGTTACAGCTTGTGACTCCTTACAATCCCCGGTCACTCCTGCATCATGGGTGGGATTCTAAGCCCTCGCAACATCTCTGGCACGTTTTGAAACTGTTGGACACGGTTGGGAGAAATGACGAAAAGGCAAAGACTTATGCCGACATGGAGGTATTGAGATATGGATACGCAAACGTGTGTATATATATATATATATTAAAACGATGTTTAATAGAAAGAAAAATAGATAGATAGATAGATAGATGGATAGATAGATAGATAAGATAAGATAGGATAAGATAGGATCGGAAAGGATAAGATAGGATAAGACAAGATAAGATAAGATAAGATAGGATAGGCTAGGATAGGGTATAAGATAAGAAAAGAAAAGATAAGATAAGATAGGATAGATAGATAGATAGAAAGATAGATAGATAGATAGGTAGAAAGATAGATGGATAGATAGGTAGATAGATAGATAGATAGATACATAGATAGATAGATAGATAGGTAGATAGATAGATAGATAGGTAGATAGATAGATAGATACATATCATGCGTATGTATGTGTGGTATAAGTGTATATGTATGTGTATATATATATGTGTGTGTGTTTATAAGTATATAATATATACATAGAGAGAGAGAGAGAATAGTACACATATAAATGTCATGTACATTGATATGACCCATGGCCATCAGTTCACAGAGATTCCAGCACCCCCAGGGCCCGCACCATCTTCTGCCTGAGGCGATCGAGGTCAGCTAACCCATGGACAAAAACTGAAGCTTCAGGTGGGGATCAAAAATGTTTGTTACTCAAAACCCTTGGATTCCCCTGCGAAAAATTAACAGAAAATTGATTTTGGGTCGGTCTCAGTGTCCTAAATTCTTTTAGTTTTAGGCCTCGGAACTTGCGGCACTTGTGCGCCACGAAGTGTTTTTATTATATGAGGGTGTTGCTTTGATTGCTTGAATGATCTAAAAGCAGGGTGATGTTAGGTGTGGGTTGTGTTAGAAAAAATATCGCTTCTGCTTAGGTATATGCGCACCTAACACAGAAGGTATTGTTAGACGCAAGCTCTATTAAAAGATGCGAGTTCTGTGAAGTGAAAGTCAACTTCTGCTGTGCACGTGACGACGCCCTTTGGGCGGCAAAGCTGCAAAGGGCTTTGGTAGAACAATGTTTTCGTCCTTCAATTCTTGCCAGGGGGCAGGCAAAGTAACTGCTTGGAATAAAAGGACCGGATAACATCGGATAACCCCACATGTCAAGCCTTTATGTATCTAAGATTTTAATGTGAACTTCGGGGAGGTGTGAGAAGTGAGGTGTGAGAAGTGGAGCTGTGATGAGTTCTGATGTGATAAGTGAGGTGTGAGAAGTGGAGCTGTGATGAGTTCTGATGTGATAAGTGAGGTGTGAGAAGTGGTTTGAGAAGTGGAGCTGTGATGAGTTGGGATGTGATAATTTGTGATTATTTGTGATGAGCAGTTGGGATGTGATAAGTGAGGTGTGAGAAGTGAGATGTGATAAGTGAGATGTGTAGAGTGGTGAATGATGAGCACTTGACGGACAGCTTCTGTTAGACAATACTTTCCACCTAAAGGGAGAAATTGTTTAGATAGCGCTGGTGCGCTGTAAGATGAAGCCATCATCTAACCAGTGAAAATCTTCATCTAAGAAGTGTATAGGGGTTTAAAAAATGCATCCTGTTAGGTGAAAGCCAAAGCGGGTTAGATGTAAGGCCATCCCGTTAGATAAAAAGGAGGTTCGATTAGAAAAAAATGGTTTCGGTTATTTTTTTCAGGTGCGGGTTAGAAGCACATCTAACGATTGGCATTAGGGTGTGCTCTATAGAGGGGGAAAAAGGGGGTGTAACAATAAAGATTTTTACTTGGGCGCCAACTTCGTGGCGGATTCTGACCCATATCCATTGGTGCCCACGAAAACCTCCCGTCGGCCAATTCCCAATGATCTCTGCCTGCTCTTTTCTGGAGCATGAACTTCAGATCTGATACAGGATATCTGTGGCCCCTTGGCTTACATCCTCGTTGTTGATCTTGGGTCACATTGCTTCAATACTTGAATTTGGTAACCTCCCCATTCTTTCAAGATGTTTTGGCTCATTCTCTTTGAAAACTACCATCCCCCACCCCCATTCCATTCATCCACGCTACAGGCGCAGGTGCTGCCGCTGGTGCCGCTGCTGGCGCGGCCGCTGGCTCTGGGGCGGTGTAGCCCGTGCCGATCGGATCCTGAGCGACTCTTAAGAATTCACATGGATAATTTGCCTGTGAAAAATGGTAATTATTCAGTCTTAAGTTACTTAAGTCTTAAAAATTAACGTCCGTGGCCACGGGCAAAATATGCCTGTGAAAAGCCGGGCCTGTCCTATTTCGCCATGGGAAAATGGTCACAAAATGTCAAAAGATTGTGTTTACACACATCCGCCATACATCAAAAATTGTGCATTTATTGTGCATTTATGATGCCTACGCCATCTTCGTTTGGGTTTGTCAAGAAATGTGGGGGATGTCCAAAAATGCTGTGCCAACATCATGAGAGACCTTGTTTTCAGACACATCTATGTGAGTACAGGTCAGGTGAGTCAGGTGTGAACAACATTTGTCAAACCTCAAATTAACGTCCGACATTGGGTGAAAAACCTCAATTTGGATGATACTGAAATTGGTGTGTAAGTCTAAGTACATGAAATATTCAACAAATTTGAAGGTCCAGATAGTCCAGATCCACAAAAATAGGATGGCCCGCAACGGTCCTCACTGGACCCATGTTGGAACATGTTGGCCATTGGGATGGGCCGATTCGACTGCATTCGACTGCTGAGTTTCAGACCAAACTCACTTCTTTCTTCTGGCGCGCATGCTGATGACCAACAAGAAGTAGCGGGTCGCATGCAGTTTCAAGATGTAATATGTACTGAAGTAAACCCAATAACATATATATAACATATATAACATACACCATCCATTCTCCAAGCAATTGGGGCTTCATTTTGTTATTGGCTAAAAACCTCATTCCATCAGATCATTTTCAGAAAATCGGCTCCCAACCATGGCCCCGGTAAGGCCTCAGGAGTTGGTTCTGCCAAATCTAAAAGGTCTGACATCCCCAGCAGCCTGGGATGCAACAACGAGACACTGTCGGTCGTGTGTTTCTTGCGACCCTATGCGATATGACAGACATGTATAAATATACAGTATGATGTTTTATAATGTACATATCTATATATATATATACATATATATACATATATATACATATATATATACATACATATATATGTATACATAAATATATATATATACATACATACAAGGTATATATAATGCATGGATGGGGTGTTTTTCCAACCAACTCGGGACACACACACCTGAGCGTCGCGGATGCCGCGTCCGGCAAGTTTCTTGAACCAAGCTATCAACGATATATGATAAATCAACATCAATCAACAATGGTAAATCAATCAACATCAACCAATCAACATCATGGTAAATGGAAGAAATCTACTGATCCGATGGGAGAAAGCCATAGAAACTGATGGGATTTGAAAGAATTTTTACACCTCGTCTCATTGAGGATATCCAAATGCACTGAGTCTGTCCAATTTCGAGATCCCAGAGACCTATTGGAGGGCTCTCCAAGAATACAGTCGAAATACTCCACCGTGGACCGTGGATGCATCTTGAAATATGTATATATATATATATATACATATATATACATATATATATACATATATATATATACATATGTATATATATATACATACATACAGATCTGTATATATATATATATATACATGTGTATATTATACATATAATTATATATATCTATAATATGCATATACATACTATATATACATCTATGCATATATATATGTATGCTTATATTACACATACATACATGTTGCAATGTAAATTCTACGTATAAAGATACAAAGGGGTCACAAGACACCTTGGTGAACCCCATGACAAAGGTCCGCCGAGCCCCCGTAGGACACAGTCATGACACCCCAGGTACAAGCGGGGGAAGCTGCTTAGATAAAGATGTAAAATTATCCGTTCCCCGCCTTGTGGCTATTATTCTCATATTGGATTGGAGCAACCCTGGTTCCTATTGGTTCTCTACTATTGGTTTTACCATTCCTATTGGTATGTATATAGTATCATATGATTGTGTATATAATATGTATGTATATATAATATATACATACATATAGAATTGTGTGTATATTATATCTACATATATAATTATGATTAATTACTGTATTGACATGTATTGACGATATCTTTACCGTGGTCGTGGACTTTTTTCTCGCGTATATCCTCGAAAACGACTGCCACTGGACAATGCCAGCTGATGGCATCCTCACCTTCATTCCAGAGTGTTTGCAAAATATCGCAAAAAAAAGGCAAAAATATGATGCTGGTCAAATCGGTCAAATGTTCTGCTTTTGAGCACACACAACTCTACCATTACGTCGTACTAAGTTGCTGCATCAAGTCACGCTTAAACCCACAGGTCAGCATAAAAATTGCCATGAATATGTGTCCATAAAGAAACTTGTTGGGGGGATGCGCCCCTCAGAAACCTGACACTTGGCGCTAGTCATCAAGGCTAAACTTTGCTGAATACGTGCCAGTGTTGCTTGGTTTCTGGGAGGCGAAATTAAATTTACCACTGCACCATTATGGCCATTACGGTCTCCCCAGTTGCAGAGCCCACTGCCCCATGACTAGCCTGACGTTTAAGTGGAAAAGTACAGCTCGAAGCTGAGCTGATTTGGGTGAAACGATGGAATTCACTTTGGACAGCTTTGGGTTTCGAACCTGCCTTCAGATCCGAGCCTTCGAACAACATGATGTTTGTTTCGGAGGTGAAGGTCCAGAAAGTTTTGGAACGCAGAAAAGCCAACAAAATAGTTCACCTTTGATACGCCTGTTTTGTGGGTGGTAGCCTCCATGTTTGCACACACATTAATATCAAATAATATCTTAAATAATCACATTCATATCATTGTCTCTGGCCGGATTTGAAGAGTCTAAAATCCAAAGTGGCTTTATCTGGAGCCATCTTTCCACATTCGTCATATCTGCAGCCACAGTCTGCTCTCTCAGCCAAACCGGGTCCAGTCGCAGAGACGACGAGGTCAGCTGGGTCAATCAACCAAGTGCATCATCTGCAAGCCTGGCCGTTGGTGGGAGTGATACGTATACACCGTTTAGCCTGACGACAGAATCCGACTTGAAACAGAAAGCTCAGACATGAAATCCATTGAAATCCCATGAATTCAGCATAAAGTCCCATAAAATCACCATAAAAATCCCGAAAAAATCCACCATCCGCTCCCAGCCCAATTTTTATCTTGCCCACCTGGGCACAGGTTGCGCAGCTCCCTCAGCCCATTTTTCACCATGGGATCGGGGATGTCATCGGGGGGATCTACTGAAATTCCCATAGCCCTTAGGCCTTATCTCTTTGGTAGGTACCTCTAATTCAGGTTGAAATGGCCATTGATTTTTCATGGCGTCTACATGCGTCTACTGAAATGTACTGGAATGTGAATTTGTCAATGGGGGTGCAAACCAACAAAACAAAACAAAATTATCTGAGATACTAATAGACTGGGATACTTTTATGAGATCCCAGATGATATAATGACTTTTACCCCAGGTAAAGGGGATTGCTGTGAATATTCCCTGAAGCCATTTCTTGGAAACCTCCTGCTATATTCGGGGATCCCCATACTACTGGAATTTCCAGGATTGGACCAGCCACTCCATGGACATTCGTTCCAATCACCTGCAACATGGAGCGCAAATTTTCGCGCATCCTTAGCCTCTCTCAGACCCTACAAGATTTAGAAAACGTTCTGAGGAGCCCACAACCGTGCATACATGGCTCCTGTATTGGTCGAACTCCTGAGCGCCAGGACTGTTCTAACACAAGGGATCGACTCATAGATCTTCATATGCAACATGTTTCACCCATTTTTGGATGATAAGAACGAAGATCAATGAAGATCACCAAGTGAAGGTGGCTATAGTAATCACTGTAAGTCCCTGAAAGGTCAACAATCATTAACATTCCTCAGCCTCCATATCAGCTCAGATCTCTGCCTCAGGAGTCACGTGGAGTTTCCACTCAATCAGTTGAAGGAAGTGGCTCTCCAGCGCGTTAACTTCCCGTGTCCGAACCCCTCCAACCTGCGGGGAAACCCATGCGGTTGCGATGATTCGGCGATGCATAAAAGATGTTTTTTTAGATGCTGCTTTCCAAGGTGATTTTCATTGCCATTTCGACATGTCGAACAAAAATGTCATGGCCATATTTCCCATGGAATTGTCATGGGAGGAAACCTGCCTTGGAAGGAAACCACCATCCCATGACTCCCAGGATGATCCCATGGCCTTCGCGTAGTAAGCATTACTGTAATATACATCGTCGAAGAATTTTACCGCCAGCATGACGCTGGTGACCAATAGCCTGGGTCAGATGGTCACAATGCTTCAGAATGCTTCAAAATGCTTCAAAGATCTGCACCTGGGGATACCACCAATTACAATTCATATTATATACATATATATATATATGTATATATATATACATATATATATATGATTTGGTATTA